TAAATGACACCATCTCAATAAGGAAGAAATCATGCTATTATAATCTGTTTCTTCTCTAATCTTTGTACCCCAAATCAGGCTTCGTCCTTAAGACTGAACAGTTGTGCCTAAGAAAAATGAACTGAATTCTGGAGAGACACAGTAGTGGACATCTGTTACTCTTGTATGTACTGTCAACTCCCTCAGGAGAACTGCCTCTTTACGTGGTTCTGGCAGGAATGTCCAGCAATAACTCCTACAAAGGCAGTCATGTGACCCAAGCCAGGCCAACCACAGCACCCCACATCGCCCTGGGCAATATGATTGGCTCAGAGATGAACATGTCACTCAAGCTGGGCCAATGAGGCCCTTCTCTGGAATATTAGACAATTGGCTGGAAAGGCAAATTCTTTTCCCTCTGGGGTCATTCACTAGGATAAAAAACTGGTGCTATCTATAACCATGGTGGTCTCAATCCCTCCTATCATGACTACCAGTTACATTAAAGAAGACTGTCAGCAGCCGGAAAGATCAAAACACACTAAAATTTCTTATTCCTGAGTCCAGTTCCAGCATGCATTTCTTAGCTATGTGGGGGCAAGAATTCCCCATCCTTGATCAAGCTTTTTGAGTTATTTACTTTTGTTTTTTGTGGGGTTTTTTGTGGGATTTTTTGGTCCCTTACTATAGCAGGAACCCTGATTTAATAGTACTATGAAATATTCACGCAGTCCCCAAATAGGCTTTTATGTACATGATCACAAGCTCACTGGGGCAGGATGCTGAAGCATCTGAAAAGATGATCAATAGAAGTAAACACTTCAGCAAAGAGAGGGAATACCCCAGACAGATCCTCTGTGGAAGCAGCCCTTGACTTCCAGGATATCTCTTCCTAGGAATGCGTCAAAGACCCTGGCTTAGGCAAAATCTCCTTGTTCTGCATTCCTGTAGTGCCTTACATTTCCTTTTACCATAGTTGGCAGAATGCAATTGCGTGTTATATGCTTGTGTTCTCTACCTTATAAGCTCCCAGGTAGGGACGGTGACTGCTTTTGCCCATTGTTCTGGTGCCTGGCAGAGCTCCTGAACTTAGTGGGTGTTTAGCAAATATATGTAGAGCTCTACTGCAATGTTTCATTTTGACATTTATGATAAAAGAATGAATCAACGGCCCTGTAGATTCCACTGACATCCCAACTGCAATCCCTGCATCGGCAGTTTCAGCATCATGTAGGAGCTTGTAAGAAATGCAGATTTCCAGGTCCCAGCAGAGACTTACCAAAGCAGAATTTATGTTTCAACAAGATCCTCAGGGAATACTGAAGTTTGAGAAGCATTGATTTATATCCCACTTCCAAAATCAAATAATACATCTGCACTACACATTTGGATTTAGAAGTTTCCTTTTAAAGAAAATAAAGATTAACAGCTAATATATATAATGCATATTTACCATGTGCCAGGAAGTGTGCTAAAAGCTTTGTTTGGGATATGTGTTTTGATCTTTCCAACAACCCTTTGAGGGGAAGGAATCGTCATCAGCCCCTTTTATAAAAAATAAAAATGAAAACACTCATTGTGATTTAACTTTTTGGTGTCACAAATCCTGAGTGCTCAGGCTGGTTCTGAAGTAGTGTTTTCTTGGAGCTGCACATAAAAGATGCTACGAGTGCTGGCCACTAGCGGTGCCTCAGTGGCTCAGTCGGTTAAGTGACCAACTCTTGGTTTTAGCTCAGGTTATGATCTCACAATCTGTGAGTTTGAGCCCACACTGGGGTCTGTGTTGGCAGCGTGCGGCCTGCTTGGGATTCTCTCCCTCCCTCTCTGCCCCTCCCCTGCTGTCTCTGCCTCTCTAAATAAATAAATAAATAAATAAATAAATAAATAAAAACTCAGGCTACTTAATGGATTGTGGGTGGGACCATTCTCTCTTGACGGACAGGTAAGAGAGCCTAGGGGTGGGATGGGAGTTCCTGAATACGTGCAGGACCTTGGACCTATAGGGAGTTTGACTGGAAGTAGGAAAAGATACAGAATCTCAACCCTATGGAATCTGCTTGGCAGTCCTTTGGATGCATCGGGCCTGCTCTACCATGTTTCTGTCAATTGCAGAGAAAAACAAGTCCTCAGTTGTTTGGCAATCTTAGAGCATCTCCACTGCCCTCAGGAAGCCTTCATAATGAAAGGATGTGGGCAATGATCGAGTCCCAGAAAGGGCTGCTCTGTGTTTTGTTTGTTTGTGTGTGTGCTGTGGTCTTCCTGGATCAAAAATTGTAGAGACTTTTGAACTTGGCCACTGAATCAATGGAGATTGTTCAAGCTGAAAGGGCTGCAGGGTAGAATAAAACAAAAAGGGATGGTGTTTGAATTTAGAAAGATCTGAGTTCAATTCCTGCTTGAGTAAGTCACTTATCCTCTCTGAATCTATAAAAGGGGTAATAATAAAGCCTTATTTATAAGACTCAGGGAAAGACTGAATTAGATCCTCTATATAAAGTCCTTAGCATTGTGCCTGGGTCCAAAGGTGGACTGGCTGGCTGGGTGGCTTGCTGGCTGGCTGTCTGGCTATCTGTCTGTCTGTCTGTCTGTCTGTCTATCTATCTATCTATCTATCTTTCTATCTAATTTTATAAATCCTTGGCATATTTGCAGGAAAAAATTGTTTTATTTCAAGTTCCAGTAGAATCCTTCTGATGCTCAGAAAATTATGCAAGTATTTAGCCAAGAACGGAGGGAAAACAGCAATAGTAGTATAGACTTTCTCAGAGCTTGCTGGGTTCAGAATGTGTGACGGTTTTAACGAAATGTATTTAAAATGATAGAATTCATTTGCAGGAATCACAGCTTTTCTTTTAGAGAGTAGCAGCCTTTTACATGTTTTTTTTTTTTTAAAGATACTGTAATTAAACAGCATATTTAATTTCTAATAATGCCACCGGACAGAAAGTATAAGCCCACCAAAATGCCATGTGCAGAGTCCAATAGCCTACTAAAGCACAGCCTGACTGAAGGACTCTGTAGTTGTCCACCCCAATTTACATAGGTGACCCCAGCTGTGTCCAGCCACCTCCATTGGCTGGTTTTGTATACCCATCTGCATATTTGTGCTTTGTTCCCTCTAAGGAAATCAAAGACAAAGAAGAAGGGTAAGAAAAAAGATTTAAAGATCAGGAAAGAAACAATTAAAGCAATGATTGTGATTTAGGTCTGCTTTGCCTAGAAGAGGCCTTGCACATACCAAGCTTTAAACCCGTCTTTGCTTTGACCTTAACCCTTCAGGTCTGGTTTTATTCTCTTGCTGCTACCCAGTCCTTTCCATCCATCACTGTATGGGCAGTATGATTTTTATGGAGTTCAAATGACCAAGCTGTCCCCTTGCTTAAAAAGCCTTTGCCTTTGGAAGTGAGACCCATGGATTTTTTCCCTTGAAAAAAACCCATATGCATGTATAAGTTGGCATAGATTCTAGGTTAGGAACCTCCGGACAATGAGATACAGTCTGATCTCTATTACTAAGGCATATATGAGATCATGCCTCCTGCCTACATTGCCATTTTCACCCATGACTGCAATCCTTTCACCTTGTTTTGCAATCACAGAATTCTGAATTACAGAATATTTAAGAGTGTGATGTCTGGGCTCAGAGTCTGACTCTATCACTTACTGGTGGTAACAGGTGTGTTACCCAACCTGTGTTTCAGATTGCTCACTTCTAAAATGGGAAGAAGAGTAGTATCTATCTCATAAGGGGTCTTAAAAGCACTTATGGTCATACCTGGCACATAATATACATTGAATAGGGATTAGCTATTATTTTAAGGATTAGCTATTTTTATTAGCTATATTGTTTTATGGATTTGCACATAGTATTCTCTCTGTCTAGGATGCCTGTCCACTTGCCAATGTCAGCTTCCTTTCACCGATCCTACCTTATTTTTCAAGATGTATTCAAGCTCATCACTCTTGTGAAAACGTCCATGGTTTTCTCGTAATGCACTCTTGCACATTACTCTATCACTTGGTATTGCTGTGTAGTTTGTCATTTCCATGTATACACCCATTTGCACACATGCTCCATAAGGTTAGCAGCTATGTCCCTCTTGTTTACTAAGCCCTGGCTTTCACGACTGTACCTGGCATGTGGTAGGCTCCCACTAAGCACTTCTGGAATGAATAAATGAATGAACAAATGAATGAATGAATGAATACCTTCTCTTTCAGGGAGAGAAAGGCTCATGTGTCTTGAACATAGGTTTGTGAATCTTCAAATACCTACTGCCAGCATGGTGCTTGGATTAAATTAAATATGTTTAGCGTTGATTACCTGATAATTATCTTTGAGGATTTTTTCAACTTAAAAACAATGATCAAATATAAAATCAATATAAAAAATAGATGAGCCTTATTTATTAGAGTCTTATGTTAAAGCTTTCCTCGGAAGTTTGGGGACCAAACAGGATGAAAATTTCCAAAGCCAGAGAACTTTCTAAGACCTTCCCTCCCTGGACACTTCTGGCAACAACCGCTGCTCGGCCACCTGCTGCATGCATCCTGCCTCATCACACGATACACACAAGAACAACACAGACACAACTCCTCTCTGTCTTGGCTGATAAACATTCATCAAAGAACACAAACTTCTCAATAGGGCAGGGGACAGAAAAAAGAAATGAAAAACAAAGAGGAAGAGTAGTTTGGCTCAGTAACTTATTGTTTTAAGCACGTGAGGCCCAGTCACTGAAATCCTGAAACCGAAGATGAAATGGAGCTCCGCAGCTAACCAGAGTTCTGTTCCTTCAAAGCTTAGGCCTTTACGGAAACTCTGCTCTATAGAGGTCAACGCCTAATGTGCAAGAGATATAGTTAGACAGCACAAATTAACTCCTTAAGTATCATCACAACTCCACATCAGTCTTGGGGAGTTCATACGTTAAGGAGCTCTTAAAAAACAAAAACAAAAACAGAAACTCAATATAACTCCACAGTCCTGATAGTTTATAATGCATATACAGTTGGTTCACCTGCGTCCTTTTGATTCTCTATTTGAAAAGAGAGAGCACAACAAGGAGAGAAGAGAGAGAGAGAAACAAGAACACATATGCAGGATTAATGAGCAAATGGACCAAAATGCCCCCCATTTATGTGTGATACATGATATTGGAAGGAAAAGGTTGCCCTTGGGTTCCCACCGCCCCGAAGTGTGGGGGCCAGCAAAAAAAGGCTCCTTCACAGAGGTGGAAAATGCTGCACAAATAGAAAATTAGTAAAATTAAGTTTAATGTGAAATCAAGCTATGAAACGTACACGAACTCTCCAAGTGACAATTAAGTCAAATGTTCTAGCCAGAGCTTAGAGGAGAGGGACAAGTCAAAATCTCCAGAGAGAATAAGGAAAAGCTTCCCAGCTTGAGAGAGAACAGACAGGAGGCATACAAGATCTAATTTTTACAGAGGATGGACCACCTTGTGTGATCTTATACCCATAATAGTTTCACATCTTAAACATGGAAAAGAAGGCATGGTTTTGCCCCAGCTATCCCTTTCCTGACACCTAAAGCATTGCTCCCGGCCTAGCGGCTACCTTGATTGTGTACCAGTGACAAGCACTTTACAAATTAGGGTTACACACAAGCAAAGTAAAAATGCATTCAGGTCACAGACAGAGAATAACTGAAAAACTTACGGACAAATCTGAGTTTATCACAAACAAATGGCTTAATTGTCTAACCTGTTTGAGGCTGATAAAAAGTGACTGGACTTCTCACACTGGGTTTCACAGACAGAATCAACAGACAAGCCAATGCTAAAAAACTTGAAGCAAGGAGAGTGAGTTGGTTTGGATCTGGATTTTCTTGAAATAATGAAAACAGAGAGAGTGAAGACAGCATGGCGAGGAGGTGGTAGGTACTCACGAATGGTTAAATCCATCACTTGGGAGGCCAAGCAGAAGACAGGATGCTCATACATTTCTCTCTTTTTCCCTATAAAAGAGGATTTGGGCATGCAAGAGGCTTAGGTCAGAGGTAAAGAGGTTAAAGGTCATAGGTTAGAGGAATACGTTACATTAGCTCAAAGGAAAATAGCCACAGAGTATTTTGGGATAAACACAGGATAAAAGAAAAAGGAGTTTCAAAATTGGAGATCTACTGGATTAACCATTCAGCATGCCGTGAGTCACGAGAGAGATTGTGACCATGATTTTACACGTCTCTTTAGAATTGTTTGCAAGAGTACAATGACCAAAAACATCATGAGTAAAGGGAAACAGAATTTCATTGGTTTAAGGCTCCAAGATACTAAGGATTTCAGACTTTAGTATCTAAGGCTCTTGAGGTATTTCTTCATAAACATAGTCTCCAGTAATATCACTACAACTTCATTCCAAAATTCTCAGGGGACTAGCTGTTAGTGCTCACAGAGGGGCTCAAATGTAAAAACATAAGATTTCTTTTCTGAGCATAGGATCAGAACCTTGTAAAAGAGAGTTGTTTGGCAGTAGTATCTTCAAAGCTGCAATGTCTCAACCTACGGTGGACTATGTTCATGAAAGAAAACCTGATACATGCAGCCAGAGGATGTTGGGTTGTCTGAATTAACAATCCCAGCATGCTTTGAAATTGGTGTCACAGCCACTTTTGCAGAGGTAATGTCAAAAAGTGGCTGAGCCAATCACGGACAAGGAAGGAGAGAAGCGGAAGAGAGCAGGTAGTGTGGAATGAGGTACTTCTCTGAAAAGAGAGTTGGAAAAAAAAGATTGGTTTCTTCAAAGAATCCCCAGACCTAAAAGTCACAGTGCAAAAGATAATTAACACAACCAAGAAGAATTGAGGCACAAAAGGAAATTACAGATCAGCTGATCTACTTTGGAAATGAATGCATTTTTACTTACAGATCTTAAAGTTTGTTTTTGGATATATTTATCTGAAAGAAGAGAGCAGATCTTACCGAAAGACTAGTAACAACTAGACCAAGGCCTACGAGGCAGCAGCCATGGCGACTGGACGTTTCTTGATCCCATCCCATCTCTGGCCTTGCCTAGAATTATTAGGTACCTGGTTGACTTTACCAAATACAACCAATCATTGTGTCCTGGGAAGGTAAATGCTAGAACAATTATTTGCTAATATAGCCCTTTAATGATCTTCTTGTTCCTCTATTTTTGTTACTCATTACCAAGTCAAGAGTTGATAAACATCCTTTTAGTGCCCAATTCTTAAGTGTTTCTCCCTGGGTGCATAGCAATGAATTCATTACCACTGGTACACAATTTGCATTGTCAGACACACAAAATTGAGAGAGGGAGGACATGTAATGTACAGAACACTGCGATTTGACATGATCTTAACCTAATTCTCTAAGGAAACAAGGACTTCGGCAGGGTAAGTGATAGGGTTTTGGTGGTTGATTAGTTTTGTTTTGTTTTGTTTTTTTCTTTTCTGGTAAAGTCCTGAAGGCAGACAATGGGCATTTGTTGGTTTCAGTCAGGTGTTTCACATGTGAGAGAACATCAGATTCCAGAATGCGGACACATTGAGTTGTGCACACAGAACTTCCACATTTATACACTTACACCACTGGTCAAGTTGGGTGTGGTTTTCAAATCACCCTATAGCAGCCAACAGGGTAACAATGAAAAGTGATTAATACCTTTGCAAATGAATAGGTCCCAAAGAACCATATCTTCTCAAGTAGAGTTTACTCAAAGTGCCTTTTGGGTGATTACTTGGTCATCAGTGCCTGCTTCCCTAAAACTTGAGAGGGCAGTGGTAACAACCATCCTAGGTCTGGAGCAACAAGAATGAATGAGATCTAAAGCAAACCAGGAGCCATCAGAGACAGCTGGCCACCAACCTGCCGTCAGGTTTGAAAATGTTACCCAAAGACAAGATAGGTTCAAGGGGCAAGAGAGAGTAAGCAAAAATCGTGATGTTGTTTTGTTCAATGCTTGTTTGACCTCCACTGCTATCAACAGTGGACCACAAAGTGCTTTGTTTTCCTCTAGTTAAAGAAGGTAGCAATCCTACCGCACTGCTTCATAGGAAAACATTAGTCACAGAGCAAAGCTAATGCCGACACAGACTCTCAAAAGGAACTTCGTTATCTGATAACATCCTATATTCGGTATTCTTCCCCTCCAAAGACTGTTGCCTGAACCCCTCTTCTTAATTCATTTATTTGGCCACAGCCAAGGAAGCTTTCATGTTTCAAGTGTTTTCAGATTTCAATTTAACATATTCACATGGACCACTGTTTTCTGATGCCCATTAGAAAAGACAGACTCTTCCCCAGGGACGCATACCAAAATTTAAATAAGTAATTGGGGGCAGAAGGGAGCCTTACCTTCGATTTTAGCATATTCTGAGAGCCGGGAATAGTTGACTAAAGCAGCCTGCTCTAGACATTTCCGGATGACTGTTTTTACCTCCTCTTGTGGTACGGGGGTAACAATATCTTTCATCAAAACCTTTAGGTGGGGAAAGAAAAGATTATTAAGATGGTTCAACCAAATGTGTTACTCATTTATATTTCTTCAAGAGCTCAGGCTGAAAATGAGTTGTGAATGTTTCCTTTGACTTAACATTGATTGAGAGCCATCGTTAAAGAGAAAACACAGAACTGTAATGCACACTTAGGATGGCAAAGCCCATCTATGAATCAAGGAAGGGCCAGGAACATATCTTCAATATATGCTAACTATTTGGGAGTCTGGAGATAAAATATCTAGAATTTTGGCAGTTTCCCCACGTTTATTCTGGTATTTGGTGAATGGTAAACGAAGCCTTGAAAAATGACAAACTAGGTCATTCAGCCATAATATTTCATTACAATTATGTTGATGTCTGCATATATGTACTCTGTCTTTTACTTCCGTTCTTACCCTTTCCAGGAGTGATAGAGTTGCTTTTAAAGCACCTTCAGGTCGACCAAATGGAAAGCAATACCTAAAAAAGAGAATATTCTTCAGGTTGCCCAAATACATTACATTTCAGCATGAAATATGCTACAATTTGATTCCTATAGCAACTCTTTTTGAGGAACAGAAAATGCTTTTTATTTTGTCACGTTGTGTTATGTTAATCTGAATTCACACCATATATGTGTGTATATAATGTATATATGTGTATGTGTGAATAATGACTAAAGAGAGACTCTGCAAATGTCTGCAGCAGAAAAGAATATTTAGAGTGATGGCATAAGGCTCTGTTTAGATTTCTATTGTGAAGGAAAACCATTTGTTAGCTCACATGCGTCCTTATATATTATTATAGAGACCAGCAGTAAAAAGAAAAAAAAAATTAGTTGAAACAGGCTAAAATCCTAACATATTTCCTCAAATCTCCAAAGGAAATGAAGGAGTGTATTTTGAGCAAATTCATGCTTTTGCTAGGTATCCTTCTTTGACTGTGGTTTTTCCTTGTCATTGGGTCTTTTGCCATTGGCGATACATCTTGCATATAGTGAATAATCAATAAAAATTTGTCCCAGAGGATTGTGATGGCACAGAAGGAACTGGGTCCTGTACTCCTAAGAGTTCCATTGACTATTCTGGGCTCTCACAGGCCCTTCGAGACACTGTTCCTCAGGGTACAGAGGGGCCAGCAGAGGGTACTTAAATTCAAACTATCTCCTGTGCATGTGTCTGATTGGGTGGTCCGGGGCAAGTTCCCTAACTCTCTCAGCTTTACTTTTTATTAATGGAGATTATAATAACTACCTTACAAAGTTGTTCTGGGAATTAAAAAATGAGTTAATGCCTAGCCAGCCATTAGTCGGATATCGTGACCTGTAGGAAATGTTGCATAAAAAGGATCTATTTATTATTATAAATGTTCTTACTATTTTTGAGTTACTATCTCAGGATCTCTAGTCCAGAAGCACTGGTGCAGCGTTAGAAATGTCTAATTTGCTGCAAGGGAGACGGGGGCTATGTGGTGCAAGGCTGAAGGCTTGGACCTGCTCGCTGTGCCAAGGGTGTGGGGAAGAGTCAATCTGCTGAGGCAGATCTAAGTTTCCTTCTTTCCCTGTGTAGACAGCTGGTCCTGTTTCTGAGGTAAGAGTGAAGGTGGAGACTCTCGGATGGATGCCACTGCCTTCCTTCCCTGTTCATGTGATCTGATTCACAGGATTTTTCACTGATTCAAGAACCTTGTAGAAACTTCACATTCAACCTTTTAACAGAGTTTTTAAAAATGAATGGATGACCAGGGTCAGCTTGCAAAAGGAGGGCTCTAGTATTTCTGTGGAAGTAGAATGAACTGAAGATTTCAAAGTCTCCTGGCTATTGTAGAACCCTGTCCTGTTGGTTTCCATTTTCATTCAGTTATTTATTTATTTATTTTTAGTTGGAGAGAGAGCAGGAGGAAACAGGGGAGAGGGACAGAGAAAGAGAGAAATAGCGAAAACCCTAAGCAGGCTCCACTCTCCCAACACGGGGCTCGATCCCACAACCCAGGGATTATGACCTAAGCCGAAATCAAGAGTCAGATGCTCAACTGACTGAGCCACCTATGTGCCCCTCCATTCAATTGTTTCTAAATATCCAAGGTGTCACTGACAGGTTAACAGTTTTAGAAAGTCAGGTCCTTTATTTGCCCCACCCTGGGCTCACTCTCCTAATTAACCCCTCCACCCCAGATCCTTACCTAAAATGCGTGATCTGATTTTCCAACAGAACCCGGAGTCTCTCTTTGATTTCTTCAAAACGTTCCTTCTCTTCAACAGTCACGGTTCCGATTCCATCAGGCCTGAAAGAAGACATGTCATGAAGTGACGGGAACCTCACACACGGACAGCATCAAATCACATCTCCAGCAGGAGGAAACTGTCCGATTTGGAAGAACAATTACAATGATCGATGTGACCTTAGGAGAAATCCTGCTTTTCAGAGCTGGCTACTAAAGGGCATGGGGTATTCTGAGGTTATCTTTTGGAGACATTTGTAGTACTGTCACTCATTTATTGTGAAATGGTAAAATGTACAAACTGGTGGCTAAAAAGTCCAATTTCTAGACTTTTTGTTTGGTTCATAGCTTCTTAAGATTTTTGAACTATTTGCCAGAATGCTTAAAAGTTTATTTATTTATTTATTTACAGTGGGGGAGGGGGGCAGAGAGAGAGAGAGAGAGGAAGGCAGGGAGGGAGAGAGAGGGAGGGACCAAGTAGGCTGTATTTGCCAGCATTTAAAAAAAAGTTTATTTAGTTATTTAGAGTGTGGGAGAGGGTCAGAGAGAAGCAGGGAGAGACAGCTAGAGAATCCCAAGCAGGCTCTACATGGTCAGCACAGAGCCCGATGCAGGGCTCGAACCCATGAACCACAGATTATGACCTGAGCCAAAGTTGGATGCTTAACTGACTGAGCCACCTAGGTGCCTCAATTTGCCAGCAATTTTTAAAGTTAGGAAATTTTATAACACAATTCTTTTGAAATTTTGGAACAAATGGTATTAATTGGTGAGTGACAAGTAATAGCTTCTTTTTTAGCAGGGGCAGGCACTTACCTGTCCACATCTCTAAATTATATTAAATATCTCTCTTGTAGGCACTTAGGTTCAGGACCCCTGAATTATGCATACAAACTTCTACAAACAACAGATGCCTGGTAAATATCTGTCTTTCTTGGTGTTAAATGTTCCTAAGGGACTCAATATCCAGCTTATAATTACAGATGTTCAGATTCACTTAAGCACTCATGTACTAAGTGAATAATAAATTACAAGACATTGTGGAAAGTAAAAGACATTGATGAAAGAAATTAAAGAAAACACAAATAAGTGGGAAGATGTCCTATATTCATGGATTGAAAGGATTGTGTTAAAATGTCCATACTACCCCAAGCCATCTATAGATTCAGTGCAATCCCTATCAACACTCCAGTGGCATTGTTTTTTACAAAAATAGAAAGAAACAATCCTAAAATGTGTATGGAACCACAAAAGACCCAAAGAGCCAAAATAATCCCGATGAAGAACAAAGTTGAAGACATCACAATTCCTGATTTCAAAGTTTATTACAAAGCTATAACAATCAAAACAGTATGGTACTGGCATGAAAACAGATGCACAGACCAAAAGAACAGAACTGAGAGCCCAAGAAATAAACCCTGCATACATGGTCAACTAATATTTTTGAGAGAGGAGCCAAGATAAACAATGGGGAAGAATAGTCTCTTCAATAAATGATGTTGGGGAAAACTGAATATTCACATGCAAAAGAATAAAATTGGACTCCTATCTTGCACCACTAAACAAAATTAACTGAAAATGGATTAAAGACTTAACTTTAAGACTTGAAACTGTAAAAATCCTAGAAAAAAAGCACAGGGTAAAAGCTCTTTGACATTGGCCTTGGCAAGGATTTTTTTTAATATGACACTAAAAGTAGAAGCAACAAAAGCAAAATAGACAAGTAGGGATACATTAAACTAAAATATTTCTGCACAGCAAAATAAAAAGATAACCTATGGAATGGAAGGATATACTGGCAAACTGTCTATCTGATAATGGATAACAGAAATATAGAAGTCATAAAACTCAATAGAAAAATCCAAATCATTCAATTAAAAAATGGGCAGAGACTTGAATAGCCAAATGGACTTGAATAGTCTTCCAAAGAAGACATACAAATGGCCAAAAGATACATAAAAACATCACTCATCATCAATGAGTGCTTTTGAGACAACATGGATGGAATTTGAAGGCATTGTGCTAAGTGAAATAAGTCAGACAGAGAAATGCAATTCAAAATCACAGTGAGGTATCACCTCCCACCTGTTAGAATGAGAACAAGAAGACAACAGGTGTTGGCAAGGATGTGGAGAAAAGGGAACCCTCATGCACTGTTGGTGGGAATGCAAACTGGTGCAGCCTCTGTGGAAAACAGTGTGGAGGTTCCTCAAGAAATGAAAAACAGAACTATCTATCTAGTAATTCCACATCTGGGTATATACCTGAAGGAAAGGAAATCACTATTTTGAAGACATATCCGCACCCCTGTGTTCACTGCAATGTTAGTCACAACAGCCAAGAGATGGAAACAACCCAAGGCTCTGTTGATGGATGAATGGATAAAGGACATGAATGGGTAAATATATATATAATGGAATCTTTTTTATATGATGGAATAGTATTCTTTCAAAAGCATAAAAGAAAGGAAATCCTGCTTTTTGAGATAACATGGATGGAATTTGAAGGCATTGTGCTAAGTGAAATAAGTCAGACAGAGAAAGACAGGTGCTTCATGCTCTCACGCTTTATCTGAAAAAGTTGTACTCCTAAGAATACAGAGTAGAAGGGTAGTTGCCAGAGCCCGAGGGCTGGGGGAAACCGGGAGCTGTTAACTAAAGAGTACAAACTTCCAGCTATAAGATGAGTAATGTACAGTGACTACAATGAAGAGTACTGTATTTATATACTTGAAAATTGTTAAGAGAGTAGATCTTAAATGTCATCACCCACATTAAAAATGATAATTATGTGAGGGGATGTAGGTGTTAACTAACCTTGTAATAATGGTGATTTCACAATATATATGTATATCAAATCATCATGTTGTATACCTTAAACTTATGCAGGTTATATGTTAATATCTCAGTAAAGCTGGGGAAAGAGATAAAAACCCCATGTGATGCTTTTTGATGCTAGTGAACTATTGGTCATTTTAATAAAAAGAAGGACCCTAGCAAAAATAAGTGAATTTCAGTTTAAACCCAGTATTCTCATCTTTCTAAATCACCATTAGGTTTCCACACAGTTTTCCCATTTGCTTTGGACCGTTCAAGTTGAAAATACAAAGGGAAGTTGCATATTTATAGCCCAAATTTATCTGTGCCAAATTAGACGTAGGATAATCTGACCCATTCAAAGACTTCAGCTTCCCAGATCCTATAGTGACTTGTTTTGACTACTGGCTGAGCCAGTTTGCAGATTGGTGTGTCACCATGAAACTTCTATTGGAACATTCTTCAGTTTGCAAATGCAAGTCATCTTGAGACCAAACAAATGGTCTTATTTATAGGCCTTCTCAAGGATCCAGCATAAGTTGGGAAAATCCTGTATACTAGACCAGTCTGACTGCACAAAAGACTTGGCAAATGACAGCAATGTACCTCCTGTTAGGGGTTAATTGGTCAGCTTCCCTTCTTTATAAATACTAAAAATTCCCCACTTGGAAAAAAAAAAAAAGAAATAACAAGAAAATGTCCCCTCCCCCACATTATAAAAAACACCCCTAAACAGGAAAATTCTATAAAAATCCAGTTCTTCACACTCACCTGAACTTAAAGGAAGAAGGCCAAATGGTAAATATCAGGTAGGATGTTGGAATATGAATATGTCTTTATTTTCATATTTTCTAGATAAATCCTAACTGTTAATTTACAAAGTTTATTTAAATTCTTTTTCAAAGATTTTTTTTCAGTAATCTCTACCTCTACATCCAACGTGGGGTATGAACCTAAAACCCCAAGATCAAGAGTTGTATGCTTTATTGACTGAGCCAATCAGGTGCCCCTATCTAAAATGTTTTACATATGAAATGTCCATATGTAAATCTCTCCATATGTGAATCTGTAGATACGTCTGAGGATGAATTCATTGGCCACCACAAAATACAGTTGATTTTTTTGTGTGTGTGGTAACTTCTCATGTGTATAATCTACAATTTTCTTTAGCTGTAGTTTTTAGATTTAGATTTTGTTTTATCTGATTGGCATGTACGCATACTCGATTTGGGAAAATGGGAGCCGTTTCTAGCATTTTGTTTTTTAGCAGGGATTAGCCCAGAGATAAACGCTATTAAGTATAATTTACAAATCAGAAAGGGGCTTACAGATCACAGGAGAAAGCATTTAACATGGGCAGCACAGAGATGCATGTGGCTATTTTTAGGAGATAAACTTCCCCGAAGAAAATCCTTCCTTCCTTGCTCAGCAAGACTTCTAAGGCAATTATTAGGCAATAAGAAAGTAACTTTTAGATTGGTGTTTGAGAAGATAAAAACTAGGCATTTAGGGTGCGTCTGGCCTTCTCAGTTAATCCTCACTACAAAGGGTATTATTACAAACATAAAATTTCGATTATGTTTCTTTCCCTTTTGTTCTGATGATTATGATTATTTAAGGTATCACCAGCTGCCACTTCCCTGACAACCTCTGACTACTTTCTCAACACGATTAATCTCACTATTGTAAAAAAGTAAATGACTAAAAAGTATTGTTGTAGTCTTTTCTTTTTTTTAATGTTTATTTATTTTTGATAGAGAGACAGAGCATGAGCAGGGGAGAAACAGGGAGACAGGGAGACACAGAATCTGAAGCAGGCTCTAGGCTCTGAGCTGTTAGCACAGAGCCCGACTCAAGACTTTGAGTTGTGAGATGATGACTCGAGCCGAAGTCGGCTGCTTAACCGACTGAGCCACCCGGGTGCCCCAGTCTTTTCTTAAATTTGCTTCTTGGGGCACTTGGGTGGCTCAGTCCATTGTCTGACTCTTGATTTCAGCTCAGGTCATGATTTCACATTTCGTGAGATGGAGCCCTGTGTCGGGGGGCTGTCAGCACAGAGCCTGCTTGGGATTCTCTCTGTCTGTCTCTCTCTCTTTCTTTCCCATTTGCACTCTATCTTAAAATAAATAAATAAACATTAAAAAATTTGCTTCTTAATTGTCTATGTCAGTGCAAATAGTTTTAACTTAAAATAAATAAAACTAACTTTATGTCTGTAAGGGAAGTAGTACAGAATTGGCCAACAAA